TTAGTTACAGCCACAGTGACATCAATATACAGCATATATTACAGTAGATAGTGGAATGGATTCATTTTAGTTACAGGTACACACTGCCATCAATATACAACCATTTGGTTCAAAATAACAGAAGGCAAATGTGTTTCAGGGACAACTTCTATTCATTCATTTGATATTAAAACCTTGTAGACCACTTATTAATTGAATAATCATATTTCATTTGATGCTCCAACCCATCTCAACAAGTGAGTGAATGACTGCAATTGTGATTATTTCAATACCATTACCAATGTTATTACAATAAACGAGCCCAATTCTCTGTCATTCTAATTCACAAATGTTTTTATGAAGTTACGAAGGCGGCATATATATACAGACATTATTACTAATCTGAATTGGATGGTATAAATTGTTGCATAATTGCAAACTTCACGACATTGGAACACGCTTACTGTGTACATCAGACTAGAAATACAGAGGTTTGAGTCTCCTTACTTTAATGATTTAGCAAATGACACACACACACAAAAGTCATTACTGATTACCGGTATATTAAGTTCAATGGAGGCATATGTATGGTAGAAAACAATTGAAAAAGGAAAAACACACACCAAATTACCTGAAACATGTCGATTGATTACATTTCCATATCAAACGAACATACAATATATGACATAAGTGAGTACCGTAAACCCTTTTCAAAGATGTGAAATATTCATATTTAACTCCTTTCGTGTACTACACTGCTTTCATAGAATGAAAATATTTGACGCATTTTGTGCCAACACTATCATTGTTTCTCGGCTTGTATTTTCATACAACTTTGTTGAATGTTACATTAAGATATTAAAGTGTTTATCAGGGGTGTACTTACTTTTGTTTGATACTAATGTATAGACCACTATGTTACAAAGTCACATACAAACTGATGTATCATTAAGGGTAATTTTATATTAAGCAATTTATGCAATTGTTTTTTATACCGGTAAGCATGTGCTTTACAAATAACCATCATCATGTAACCACATAGCATATAATAAATTAATTAATAAATATTCTATTCTTGCGCTTCCGAAGAGTTTTGGAAATCATTACCCTAGCTGTAGCTCCGGCAGCCGTTATCAGCGCACAGTGCATTTCAAGGAATAATCCTACCAGGTCCCCATTTACCTCACCTGTGTGGAGTGTGGCAAATGTAGATTAATGTCTTGCAAAAGGGCGTTACTGTCGCGGCAGGGCTAAAACCGCGGACCTTGTGATCCACAGTCCGGTGACATATCCACTCGACCATGACATCTCTACTAAATAATGACTAGTATGTTCATGTACAGGCATGCTCTTGTTGTTGAGTAGATTCAGAATATTCATGTATATTCATTATTGGGAGATGGGGAAGCTATGCATTTACAACTGAGTCTAGCTCAATTTCAAAGATATCTATAAATCTACAATGTAAATATACATTTCAGTTAACACCTATTGATAATGATACATTGTAAATAAAATAAAGAATTATATATATATATATATCTCTTGTATTTATCATAACAATATTTCCATCTATACATAAAGTAGAAATTCCATTTCAGTGCAATCATATCGTTCAGCCTTGTTTGAGAAACATATTGTTTGGAAACTTTCCTGAAACTGATTTGAATTTGATTTGAATTAAAGTATGAGCTCCCTAAAGATCAATGCAAGAGTTTAACACATCTCCATTTACAATTTTAAAGTACACTCCTTTACTGGTATAATTCAATAAATGTTAATAAATTCAGACTTGTTGAATAGTCAGAGAAATGCTTGCTCTTTGTTCATAGTTGTTAAAGAGAAGGGTGAGTTCTGGGAAGAGGTGAAAAATAATTTGTGAGCGTTATCATTCTTATTATGCAAGTGTGGAAGAACATCAGATAAGACATGTTCCCTGAAAAGCATGGCTCTTCAAATGCCTTCATACATATTCTAAATATTTCATGTAACATCGTAAAACTCCAGGGTAGGATTTTTACGCCTCGTGTTCGTGTAGTCCCATATCCATCTTTCTGTGTACAGTGTTTGTAACTTTACCAAGACTTGGCCCAATTTCTTATCATTTTGATGATTCCAGAACCTTGCAATACAAACAAATTATTATATGTTAGATGATCAACCTTTGTTGGTCGATTCCATACCGTTTCTTTCACAATGCAATCGCATGACCAGAACTCAACTTCATCTTTAAGAACTAAAAAGCTATTAAATTTAAACCACATTTTCCTATTTCTGCTTTTATGCATGGCAATACAATAAAATACAAGGAAATGGAGTCATGTATATTTGGATAAACCCTCTCTATGTCCTGATCTCCTGCTTATACTAACATCATATAATAATAAACATGTCCTTTTTCATGACAACCATGTTTAAGCTACACTAACAATAATTTTGGCTTTAAATCAAAGCAGGTACCAACTAACATTTAGCATTCTTTTGCTTCACTCTTTGAATTCTACATAATGCCAACATTAACTGTTGGAAAGACAAATTAGTAAATTTCAAACAAAGAGACTATTGTTAGCAAAATGCTCAGAGAAAATGTGGAATGAAACTTAGTGTATTTATCTAAACATTTTCGATTTTAGAGATATTTCTGACGATGCAAGTTTTCTTTGGGATGGCGTCATTTGAGAAGGCTTAAACTCAACTTCAACAGAATTCATATCATCACTGCTTTATAAAAGTATAATATCAGAACAAATAAGACCACACAAAGATTATCTTTATCAAATATGCAGCAGTATAGAAACTCATTGACCCAAAGTCACAAAGTAGGTTTAACTTAGCCTGTGGTTTAAATCTTCATTTATATAACTCATGGTTTAAAAATTAGTGCAAAATAAGCGTACATGTACCTTGCCTTGCACTTGTTTAATATTGGACCTTGATCTGTCTGTGTCATGCTTATTTTGCATTAATCTTCGACCATGGGTTATATGTAAATGAAGATTTAAACCATGGGTTAACTTTAAACCTCCTTTATGAATTCGGGCCATTAAACTAAAAAAGATGCCCGTGACCTGAGTTATGATAAAACATTGCCCCATGACTTGACATGACCTTTCTAGAAACACCGACACTGCAAACTAAACCGATTATAAAGTAAAGAGAATGAACACAATAGATAGCTTACCCTGAAATGTGTAGATAGAACCCACTGCTTACCAGTAACCACATCCCCGTTTTGTGATTAACCCATTTAACTAAACTGCCCAAAACCGCCCCTCCGTTTACTCACTGAACTGCCCGAAACCGCCTGTCCGTTTTTTAACGCGCTATAGTATCCGTTCTAGGGTCTACCTTGATAATGTTATACGTGCGTAATCCCTACGATGTCTACAGAAGGATTCTGCATAGAAAAATAACGCATGTTTCATATTGTTCAGAACGATGTCAAAATGAGAGCAATATTGCAACATCTTCCAGTGAGTAATAGGCCAATATTCTCTAGTTGCTAATGGGTTAAGACAATAAAGTTAGAGTCTAGAAAAACAAATAAAAAACCAACAACCTTTGGCAGTGAGTGGGGACGTGTGTTTAAGAGGTACACATTGAAACAGAATATGCCCATTTTCTGAGAGTATTACAGAGCTAGGCTGTGTAGTGTAAGAATCCACCATACCATGCATTTGTATTTTTCTCCGGTAAGGAAATGTTTTAAAGCCCCACTGCACGACTGTAGCTACTTGCACCCTCTATATAGCAAACAATGCCTCATCGGTGTCCATTGGTCCTCCATGATCTTCTTTTTCTTATGTTAATTGATAGCTGATTTGATGAGATAACCACCTGTCAGTGACCATGCAGGGAGTTCTAATCCCTCTTGGCCAAACTAGTGCAGTAGGGCTGTGTATTCATGAAAATGCCCATTTCTAAAGTAAAGTTCGCAATGAGATGTGCAAGTATAGCATTAAGTTTATAGGTGAATATATTCATAATTCAGTATTTGTCAAGCCAAATCAATTGCTGATTTATTTATCTTTTAGTTTGTCAACAACAAGAATCCTTTAAATAATAATTTACAGCTCTTAGTTCATGTATTCAAATTAAAGACTGAACAATAGAACGTTGGGATAAAGTGTAATATGCCATTGGCTCATACCTGTTTCAGTCTACACATATTGGTAATGTCTGATGCCTTAATTCCTCAATTTGTACTCCAAGATAATTACCCCGACACACACAATGAACATTATTACTGTAATATTTTATATCTAATATATTGCATAGTTAAGACAGGCAATTTTTGGTAAACTACTAAGTACTTACAAGTATTTACAGAGTATAAAGTCTTCTAAAAAATCTACAATCTACACCATCATAATCAGCATATAATACACATAAAATCTGAAAATTATTTACAAGTATACATGTACATACATAGCTTTCCAGCCATCTATTACAATCAAAATTTACACCTGACACCATTTATAGCAATTTTTAAACTCTTAGAAAAAACTTTCATAAGAGACAAAATGTACAACATGATGTTCATTATAAAGTATACTGTGAAATCTTATATTTAATGTCCAATAGTGAAATCATATACAGTCAAACCTCATTAGTAACTTGTTGCTCAAAGAATGTAAGTCAATTTCTGAGGAGTAATGTTTCCTACTGAATCAGCCTTAGTGATGGTAAACATCAACATACCGTAATTAACGGTGTAAAAACCGCCTTCATGTATTAACCGCACCCCTCTTTTTCGCCCTAAAAAAAAAGAAAAAGCCAGGTCCGTGTTAAAAAACCCACGCGGAAAGGCCTTTCATTCAACTGCGAGGTGCAGCTGAATGTGTAAGATCATTAATGTAAATTAAAAAACAGTAGAGGACCTAGGATAGAACCTTGTGGTACGCCATGTAATAGAAGAAAAATTGGAGGAATTATTATTATAAACTACATATTGAGATCTATCAGAAAGATTACTTTCAAACCAAGATGACAGACAAATTTGAGTGTTGTTCTAGTTTCAGAGTGGTGAGTCAATACACCAATTACTGAGCTAGGAGACATTGCCAGGCATAGCGCCAGGTGGAGGGGCATAAATCGAAACTTTAAAAAAAAAAAAAAAAAAAAAAGTGTGTTTAATACACCGTTAATTACTGTAGTCTTAATAACAGGTGATAAACATCATCCGTTTATTAAGACTATGTCCCATTCACGCGTCTTCTTATGCAGGTTTGACTATCATTTTCTCGGCTCTGAAACTACAGAGAAATACAATATGTAGCATATTCAGCCTACTTCAATGATTATTACAACATAGAAATGAATCAAATAGAAATTAATCAAATATACATGGATGTTAAGTACATCAGAGATAGTTTTATACTTTCATAGTGACAAACAATTTCATGATGACACACTATGTACCTGAAAGAACTAAATGGAATGAAAGTATTTCATATCAATGACCTCTACCACGTAAGGCTTGCTCAGATTTGATGTGGTTAACCATCGCAATTAAAAAAAAAAAAAAATGATAACTGCATGGGACCTTGTTGTATTCCCTTAGCACTGTGATATAAGACACAACAATGTGAATACTATTACATTAGACATCATCAAATGAACTGCCACGGTTTATTACTTTATATCTGAGCGAGGCTTAATGTCTGTAGCAATATCTAGTTGCACTGATCATGTTTGCTGGCTGGATAGACACTCCTATACAGTGATGGGATGATACAGAAATATACACATCAAGATTAAGATGGGACATTGCTTTCTGTAATGCACATCGTTACATGAGACACATAAGAGGTAGAATCTCATGAAACTTTAAATAATTCAACACAGTACTTCTAAATCCTTCTGAACAACCAATGCAAAATGAGGAGGCCTTTGAAAACTTACTTATTCCCAGAAGAGAGTGATAGAATTCTCACGATGAGACAAATCACATAGAATGCTTTTCTAGTCCTGTCTCCCATTCCTGAATCCATCACAATGGGACTAGGAACTGAAGTGGGACTAGGAACTAAAGTGTCATCAAAATCACCTTCTGATACCAACTGATCATCTGCTGGGTGGTCTTGTCAATGAATTCATGTCAAAACCACTTCACAAGTTTTAGTTTCTCTGGTGAGGTGGCCCTGAATCTTTCAGAGTTTCTCTAGGGTGTTTGTAGGATAGAGACGCTGACAGATAGGTACCATAGCTGTAGGACTAGCACTGTTCCAGGAACCAATCCTTGTAGGTGGTCCTAGAGTTTCTCTAGGGAGTTTGTAGGATAGAGACGTGACATACGCTGACTGCTTGGTACCATAGCTGTAGGACTAGCACTGTTCCAGGATCTATCTCAGTAGGTGGTCTTAGAGTTTCTCTAGGATGTTTGTAGGATAGAGACGTGACATACGCTGACTGATTGGTACCATAGCTGTAGGACCAGCACTGTTCCAGGATCCTATCGTCGTAGGTGGTCCTAGAGTTTCTCTAGGGTGTTTGTAGGATAGAGACGTGACATACGCTGGCTGATAGGTACCATAAATGTAGGACTAGCACTGTTCCAGGATCCTATCTTTGTAGGTGGTCCTAGAGTTTCTCTAGGGTGTTTGTAGGATAGAGACGTGACATACGCTGGCTGATTGGTACCATAGCTGTAGGACTAGCACTGTTCCAGGATCCAATCTTTGTAGGTGGTCTTAGTGAGGATTGAGTACTAAGAGAGAGAAGAGAGAACAACAGATCACCACATAGCTTTCCTATCAAAATTTGAAGTACATATTCATAGTTTCTTAACGATTTCATAGAACAAAAAGAAGTTTGATACAGAGATATGTTATCAATGACTCAGCTAGTCATTCATGTCATCAAAAGATGATTAAAGTACCTTTAGCATTATATCCGTAAATCTCCAATTTACTAATGGCTCACCTTGAATTTACCATAATTATTATGCATCTGAACACGATTCAAGTTAAGTACCTAATGTTGAACAAATAAAAAATTGTCAATTTCCATTGTGACCTTTGAAGAAAAATGTGCACTACATACTTGTAGCAAGTATGGCACCTCATGGTGGCTAGGCTCACTTGCTCAGGGGGGTGTTTCACAAAACTTGTCATCAGTGACAAATGACAATTTGTGTTATAACCTACTGAAATCCTTGCTTCCGATTGGTTATCAGCAGATTTGTCACTGATTTTTGTTATTTGTCATTGAAAAAAGGCTTTGTGAAATGGTTCCCAGAACATTATCAAGGTTTCACAGTGATACCACACTACTTGGAAAGGTTTCAAATAATGGCAGGAGAATTGTTTACTGCATTAATAAAAAGTACAGGGACCTGTTTCACAAAGCCTGTTTTCAATGACAAATGATAAAAGCCAGTGAAAAATCTGCTGATAACCAATCAGAAGCAAGGATTTTAGTAGCTTATAACAACAACTGTCATTTGTCACTGATGACTAGTTTTGTGAAACAACCCCCAGGTGTATGGAATGCTAGTTGTGCTTACCTGTGATGTGATCTACCCTCCGAGTATCCACCATTGTTGTTAGTCTTGGTATCAGAAGCAAACTGGTAGACGATGAGGAGACAATCTTGACATAACTCAACGACTCGTCTACAGCAGGCCATCTCTAATGCTGTTATCGCCTCGCTACTCTTGCTGAATATTGTCTCCCAAGAACTCCTGTATTGTAAACAAAACAGAAATATCAGATAATATGGAAGGTGATGATTATTGGGAAAGCGAAATAGACAGGTACCACACCTGGGGGGTGTTTCACAAAGATCCTAAGTTGAAGTTATCTCTAAGTTAGACTTAACAATTATGGAAAGCCATTAGCATCCTTGAAAATATTTAGTAAAAGTTATTTTAAAAGTCATAAAATGTTGATTTAAATCATTCATATTTTCTATTATTATTGGAGATTTCAAATTCTTGATGTAGAATTTATGAAAAGTCTAAAAATACTTCAATTTTTGCTTCTGAACATATTTCATTATAAGACTACAAAGGCTCTCCATAACATTTACGTCCAATTTAGAGTTAAGTTTGACTTAGGATCTTTGTGAAAGACCCCCTGTATATGTAAGTGATTCTTTGGTAGTCTTAGGGAAGTAGTGCTCATTATTAAAATATTTTAGCACTTGATTTCATTTTCTACCATGATACACTGAAAAATAAATTATTTATAATTGCTTTACAATTTCAAAATGATAGCAACAAACAAATGGTCCAATACACATAAAATTGTGTATATTTTTCGATATAGAATACCTGATAAAGGTTGGTTTAAAAGTAAGAGGACAACCTAGTTCACTGTATTTCCAGTGAATAAATGTCTGAATAGTAGAGCAGTGGTCTCGTAATCCGGTGACCCTGGTTCGAAACCAAGACGATGCGCTAGTGCCCTTTGGTATTAAGGCAGTAATCCTCATTACCAGGTCCCTCGGAGAGGACCTAAAGCCGTCAGGCATCTGGTTGCTTACTTACATGTACAAGCATTTACGATTTCTTAGCAGTTAGGTAAAATAACCACCATCACATAATCCCATAATCTATTATTGGGCAACCATATTAAAGGCATGATACAGAAAACTTTCATCGGTTGGAGATAAACATATAATGTAGTTTTTAAAGCTTCTACCAACCTTGAATTTTGTGAGCAAGCTTTCGTCCACTCCTGTGGACTTTCCCAAGCTGAGTGATCTGTCACACGTTTTCTCAGCGCTGCCTGGTGTCTCAACGAAAACTTGCCCACAAAATTCAAGGTTGGTAGAATCTTTAAAAACTACATATTAAAGGCATGTTTTGATATAAAATCCTTCAGATACTCACCCTGAGGATGAGAAACAATTCCATAATCCTTGTCCGTGACTCCAGAGTAGTCTATTAAACACCTTGCTCAAGATACGATAGAGACGAATGTTCTCTACGTCAGAACAACGCCAGATACGCTGGATGAGGGCCTTCACGTTAGAGCGTACGATGTCAATCACCTTACGACGCTTGATAGAATCTAGTTTGACTAGCCAATATGATGCTATCCTTGGCTTGTGGTACTTCCAACTCTCATGAATCTATAAAAAAATATAAAAAATAAAATAAGAAAAATAAGAAATGGTTTAATCATATATACTCTACGATGGATTCTTTTATCATAAATATATCATCTGTAGTTTCCACTAAAGATTGAAGAGACAACTATGATAACAGTTGAGATGACGAGTTCAAAGTTTTGATCGCTTTATTTCATGATCATCGTTGGGAAGTAAAATCATGTACACATGTGCTGCTTTCACATAGTGTGGAGGTTTGACATCCTGTGTTTATTAGGGTTTACAAGACAAGTGATATCAAAGCCTTTCGATTCAGAATGTGCCTGTGTATACTATAAATCATAATCCTGTTTTGAAAAGACCATGAAGTGAATTGTTATGGTAATAATGACTGCTATGAGAGACATACCATAGTTGTTTTTATATGCTCAAGGGAGGCTACATGATCGTCTTTTGAAAAGTGCCATAGGGCTTTTTTCAAAAGACTATTGACCGGTCTTGGCATTTTACGGGAATGGCTAAAAATCACGACTCCAATTTCGACCAATCACATGGCTAGATTTCTAAAGTGAGGTATATAATATGTACTAACTCACATTACCTAGTAAACGTAACATACCTGATCCAGTATCATACTCGCTTCATCGTCTGTTTTTCCTGGGAATTTTATTCTCATTTCCTTCAAGGATGCAGCCATCTTCTTCATAATCTCGTCTTGTTTATCCCTGATGGCAGCAGATAGGTCGTCCTAAAAACATAAGAAATCATATCATGAATGTTCTTTTCCTCCTGGGAATAATGATAATAATACTTAGATCAAATAGCGCAGCTACAATATAAATATACTCTACTGTGCGGTGATGAAAACAATTAGATGGATGAAATCGTCTGATATTTCTTCTACTGTAAACGCGTAAATATTCACGGATTTAGCGCTAAGATCAGTGAGTGAGTATTTTAGAACTCACAAATATATATACATGTAAGCATGACTTCTTATGCGTGTTTTGAACTGGCTGAATTGTGTGCAACACGGATATGTTTTGGGGTCGCTCAGCGCGAAAAATTAACCACGCGAGAATAACAGCGTTTACAGTAATTGATTTTTATTCCTGAAGTGATGAAAAGGTGACAGTTGAATCATACATGTATTCAAGAGAATGAGGAGCCTTCTCCTACGCATGTACATCATACAAACTTTGATCAGGAATCACACTGTTCAGTCCTAGACCACTCAACACTCTATCATTTTGGGGAGATATTTCATTTATAGAGGCCTCCAAGGAAAACAGAGAAAGTAGCTATTGTACACAGGTGGCCTTTTTGGACAGGTATTCCAATACACATTTCTTTATTTAGACAAAATACATAGTCACTATATTAGACAGGGGGCCTTTAAAGATAAAGACCAGTTATGGTCATGCGATTGCATTGTGAAAGAAACGTTGTGGAATCGATCAGAAAAGGTTGATCATCTAGCATAAAAGTATTGGTGTTTACTGCAAGGTTCTGGAATCATCAAAATGATAAAGTTACAAGCACTGTACACAGAAAGATGTATATGGGACTATGCACACGTGCCCGACACGTGCGCTATATCTATCAGGTCCAAATAGATATAATAATTTACCAAATATATCAATTGGTAGGCGGTTTCTCGGCAAAATTTGTATGATCACGTATTAGTCAGAACATATTCTTTCACATGATTGGTAATAAGAGCTTCCATTTCATTTTTTGAGAGAGGGGCATTTCCGAAACTGGTCTTTACCTTTAATAGAGAGGTGATGACAGGTTTGACTGTATCTTACCATTGAACCAGTTGTTATTCTATTGGTTGAAGACATAGGACGGGTAAGAGATCTAGATCTCTGTGAGGATGACAGACTCCGCATGTTATTATGCGCAGATCCTGGTCTAGCTGATCCTGGTCTCTGAGCAGACTGGGGTCTCACTCTACCCCCCACCGCAGGACTGATGGGTGCAGGAGAGGGGCGTGTAGGGGGGCGAGAGGTTCTAGGTGGAGGTGCGTGAGGTTTGATGCATTCCTCTGAGGGGGTTACATCATTAGTGGTGGTGGTGGATGATGGAGTACTGGATGGTGAGAGCTCGGAATCGTCATCGTCATCATCGTCGTCGTCGTCATCATCATCATCCTGTTCCATGCGATTGACAACCGTTGGCATGGAGGAGAGAGGCTGAGAGAAGAGAACAAAAAAATCACTTTAAAGAAACCTATTAGTAAAATTGTACAAAACTATTGAGATAGCTCCCATGGCTGTAGAACCAACAATTGTCAGCACAATGTATTATATGGAGCTTTTCTATACATACAATAAATATACAATTTCAACCATTAGTATTTCTACCGGAATGATTAAAAAGGGGTTTCCATGACATCAAAGGAACACCCATCTAATGTCAGGATTTATGCCAACATTTTGAATACCACCTTTTGCCCTGTACATGTAAAGCCTCGGTCACAAATGCCATTACGAACAGCTACGAACGCCGTACGAACGATTTTCAGACAATGGAAATTCAGGAAGACAATGGAAAAACGGAGATTCGTACGAAATTATCGTTTGTATGAAACTTTGTGACCGTAGCATTACTTAGAAGGAATCTTAACAATTACATGGAAATTCTTTTTGAAAACTATGATCTTGAAGTCATAGTCAATATTGATTATTACACGTATCTATGTAGGAGTAACAATCGGCTTCTTCAGTTTTCCTCCAAACTTTTTTTTTTTTTTAAAGTTTTGATTTATGTCCCTCCACCTGGCACTATGCCTGGCAATGTCTCCCAGCTCAGTAATCGGTGCGTTGACTCACCACTCCGAAACTAGAACAACACTCCAATTTGTCTGTCATCTTGGTTTGAAAGTAATCTTTGTAATAGATCTCAATATGCAGTTTATAATAATAATTCATCCAACTTTTACACAAGGCGTACCACAAGGTTTTATCCTACAAAATGTAGGTCCTCTATTGTTTTTAATTTACATTAATGATCTTACACATTCTTCTAAAAACGACATTGTTACGATTATTTGTGACAAGTTCACGAGCACAAATCGGGCCTTCAAATGCACCTCGCATTTTAATGAAAGTCCTTTCCGCTTTTTCAACAACAAAAAAAAAAAAATAACGATTTTTTTTTTTTTTTTTTTCTTTTTTTTTTTCGTTTAACCGAAAACCGTCCGGTTTTGACTGGCGGTTAAACGGAATTGGAGATATCCGTGATGTTACAGCTTAACACTTAAACTTTTTTTTCTTTTTTTTCTTCATTTTAGTATGTAAAAAAGTTACATGATACTGTATTATTTTGTTGTATATATGTAAATACAAAACAAACAAGTTTTACATTCATATGTATAAACAAATTAACAGAAAAAAATCTTGCCAAAGAATGGAACTAGGCTCGACTAGCACTTGTGCTAACTTCTAGTTCCCATTAACAACTTCACCTAAATATAGTAATACACATATTTACGTATATATCTTTTGTACATTTAATAGTATGCAAATGTATGTCTAAATATATTTTTTTTAAAACCATTACTGTTCAATCGACATTACTCTTATGTTAGGTATACATGTATCAGTATTTTTTTTTGCATTGTATGATTGTTCATATGTACTGTCATTATTGTGATGTGTTGTTGTTAATAAATTCAAATTCAAATTCAAATTCAAACTTACCTTTGGTCCTCTGAAAGCTTTGGCACTTCCCTCCCTCTCGCCATCTGATAAATCACACTGATGTAACATGTCCAGTAACTCATCTTCCTGTAATATGCACACCAAATACATTCATAATATTACCACCATGAGCTGTGAATACATGTCGTGTGTATATCTTCTTTTTGTCACGTTTCAATATACTTCTGAGAACGTGCATACTTTTCATGAGTACAGGGCCCTCAGGGAGAACAGCATTAATAGCTGATCAGGCTATCCTGGGCAAATGAGGCATATTATTATCAATTGTTATTATTACTACCATTAAGATTGTTATTATTCTTATCAAATCTTATCTAGGTAGATTAATAAGAGGAATAAGTAAACTACCAGAGCATTGCCAGAAAATGGTCAATACAGGCACAAAGAAAATATTAAAAAAATATCAAAATATAGTTTACAGCAGCTCCACAGAGCTATCTTTTGACTATATGTAACAGCTTAATGTTTTGTTTTTTCTCCTACCCCCCCCCCCTAAAAAACAAACAAACATAACTCATTACTCATAATCACTTTTTAATTATAATTTGTTTTTTTTTTTTGGGGGGGGGGGGGGGGGGGGGGGGGCACCATCTTATGATTGCGGTCTCCTGCATTTTTTTCAACTGATAGCTTGGATAATACATTAAATTTATAATGATATGTTATAGAAATATTAAGTTTCGTTATTATATGTACATATGTAGAAAGAAAAAAAATTTGACATGAAGTTATTATCGTTTGTATATTTTGTATTATACCTCACATTTATATGTTCTTTGTTATTCTGTTATTATATTTGGAAAAATGCAGAAATAAAATAAAATAAAATAAAATTCAATCAAATAACTCATAACCTTTAAAACATAGAGAGGGAGAGAAAAAGAGAGAGAGAGAGAGAGATAGGGAGATAATTACCTGTACTTGTCCAGAGAGTAGCTGATAAGCATCTTTTTGTATCGTAGCAGCTCTACCAGAGAGAAAGATCTCGAAAGCATCATCAATCAATCTGACATACTTGTCGTTGAGCACTCTATCATGCGGTGGGTAGATCCTACGGAATCGTCCCATGTTACGGTTCTCATAATCCTCTCTAGCGTTCTCTCTGCGGACCTGAGTCAACTTAACCCTAATCTCAGCCTTGCGCTGCTCGATGTGTAGTCTCCTCTTTTCAGACTCCTTACATAAAGAAAATGGGAAATACAAACCATTATTCATCTTCTAGGCAGATAATGATTTCATTAAAGAGTCTCCTTCAAAAGATACAAAGTGAATAGTAGTAATAATTCCTGGTAGGAATTTATTCCTTGAAACGCAGCGCGCGTAACAGCTGCACTGCTAAAGCCAGGGTAATTATGCTGCATTATTGTAGAGCGCTTAGAGACTTCTGACAAAGTAAGTGTTAGGCGCTATATAAGCACTGTAATTATTATTATTATTATTAATAAAAAAAACACACAAAGCACTTCTTTCATTTGTATACAATCTCTAAAGCTAATAGCTAAAGTTCTGGAGAATACAATCCGTTTATAATCCTAGCTCAAACAACATCATGAATATAATAATCAATCTTTCTTATAAATCACTTTACCAGTTACAACAAACGCGACCAACCTAACTGGATTCTGTTAAGAATATGCGCTTTACATTGCACACTCTCCACTCCCTGAAGGAGCATTCCAGCCAGTCGCCCTTTTATGAGTGGGCACATACATGTACTAACACATAGAGGTTCGCACCCTACTGGGTACCCACTTAAGCACCTGGGTGGAGAGGAGCAATGCAGATAAAATGCCTTTCTCAAGGACATACTTGCCATGCCGGGGCTGAAACCCATGACCTTTTGCAATCCCAGTGAAGTGATAAGACCGCTTGACTATTGACTATGACACCTCTTCACTTTCAAAAGTGCTTTGAAAATCATTACTCAAATATTCCTTTTTTCATCTTTCACATGATAGTTAACATAGATGGAATACAATGCGGAGAGGGGCCATGTAGACAAAATGCCTTGCTAAAGGACATGAGTGCCATGCCTGGGATTGAACCCATGACCTTTGCATTCGCAGTGAAGTGATTGGACCACTTGACTGTGACACCTCCACACTTTCAAAAGTGATTTGAAAATTAAAAATTATTACCCTAATATTCTATTTTCATCATTTTTTTCATGATACTATTCTTCCAGTCAGTGCACAATTTTCCAAACCATTCTTCCGTATAACATGGCCCAAGAAGCTCAGCTGTCAAACTCTTATATTATTCAGAAACTTTTGTCTTGTTCCTGCCATGGCAAATACCTCATTATTAGAAACTCTTTCTGTCCAAGAAACTCTTAGCATCCCGCTCAGAAACCAAACTTCACAACTTTCCAGTCGCTTTCTTAGGTCTGATGTTAGGGTCCAAGCTTCACATCCATACATCAGAACTGGATACACATAGCAATTGAGTGCGCGGAGTCTCGTTTTCATCTTCAGCTTCTTATTCTTTAAGATGTTTTCTAACTTGGAGAAAGTTGATTTTGCAAGTGCAATCCTTCTCTTGATTTCTTGCTCACCTCTTGCATTGTCTATAATTGTAGTCCCGAGGTAATTAACAGAGGAAGCTTGCTTTATTTGATTGTTGTTGATCTTAAAGATGAAGTTGAGTTCTGGTCATGCGATTGTATTGTGAAAGAAACGGTGTGGAATCAACCAGAAAAGGTTGATCATCTAGCATATAAGAATCTGTTTGTATTGCAAGGTTCTGGAATCATCAAAATGATAAGAAATTTGGCCAAGTCTTGGTAAAGTTACAAACACCGACACAGAAATATGTATATGGGACTACACGAACACGTGGCGTAAAAATCCTACCCCCGAGTTTTACGATGTTACATGTCATATTTAGAGTATGAAGGCATTTGAAGAGCCATGCTTTTCAGGGAACATGTCTTATCTGATGTTCTTCCACACTTGCATAATAAGAATGAGTAATGCTCACAAATTATTTTTCACCTCTTCCCAGAACTCAACCTTCTCTTTAAGAGAGCATGGTATTCCTCTTCATCATAGTAACATAGACAAAATACAAGGTGTGGTGTACATCTACACCATCTCCCTGAAACCATGATAGTTCTGACTTGCAGACCTGGGGGGTGTTTCACAAAACATCCTAAGTTGAACTTATCTCTAAGTTGGACTTAACATTTATGGAAAGCTGTTAGCATCTTTGAAAATATTTTTATAAAATTATTTTAAAAGGCATAAAATGTTGATTCAAATCATTCATATTTTCTATTATCATGAGAGATTTCATGTTCTTGATGTGGAATTTATGAAAAGTCTAAAATACTTGAATTTCCGCTTGGCTCTCCATAATTTTTAAGTCCAACTTAGGATCTTTGTGAAACACCCCCCTATACTATTTCAATTACAAAGAATAAAAGAGCCGAGATAAACTACTCACATCTTGTGCTGTTGAAATTCGTTTGGTTGGTCTGAGCAATCTCTTTTGCGATTCAGCCTTCTGTGCAGCCATACCTTTCCTCTTGTCCGATGTTCTCATATTGATGAGACGGAATGAATCGGTCAGCAGACCACTCTTAATGTCCAGATCAATCTTCTCATCAGTGCCAAAGCTAGGTGCTCGATTGACCTACAAAAAACAATTATAATTGTTTGTTTGTTTGTTTTTATTTCTGCATTTTCAAAATAGAACATAATCATAAACATAAAGTAACAAATATTCTTCACTTTACATAATTATAAATTTGTAAGTACATTAAATAAGATGCATACAAACACAAATATAATTTCAATGAAAAAAAGATAAATTACAGAAAACGCAGGAGACCGCCATCATGAGCGGTAAGCTTGAAATCGATGGCGGCCTCACTGCTTTACTGAATGCCACACTGCTTCAAATGCTGATCCACCTATAACAAATGTTATCAATTTAGCTATGTGTTTGGTTTACCAAGACAGCATGATGCCATGATGCCACTAAACCTGTATCCTGGTAATATGACCCAATGAATACTCTTACAGCTCCATATTTTGTCTTGGTTCATCTGAATATTAAACATAAAACCTTGTACACTTAAGAACTTGAGAATGATAATGACGTAATAAGAAGTGCCCATACTTATTCTCATAAATATTTTACAATATAAATTAGAAGTATAAATGTAAAAGCTAGGGTGGCGACAATTTAATTAGTTATGCAAAACTAGTAGGAGTTTTTCAATTAAAGGGAGTGTAGCTTGGCATATACTGGTTAACGCCATCTACGCTTTTTTTGGACAACTGCGCATAAACGAAAAGACTTGATTAACGGTATCTCTACATGGTCAGCACACGCTAGCGTTTGCGAAACAGACCAAAGTTCTTCTCCCGCTTCGATTTCGTATTATACCCAATTTGCCCCGAGTCAGGCCACGGGAAAGACACATCGTCTCGTCAGGCTACACTCCCTTTAAAGTTGTAATAATGGTTCTAAGAACTGACCTCTAGCACCCAAGGGTTGAGCTTCCTGTCCAGGAGTACATCAAAGCCCAGGACCTCAAAGCACACACTCTCATTGCTTGTAGTGCCTCCAGGTCGACAGTTACGATAGGCATGGAGTACATGTGGTTCAGCAACGATGATGGTCTTCACTAACACATCCTGTGGAGAAACAAACATAGTAGAGTTACAATAGGAATGGGTATGTGGGACTACACACTAATGTTTGGTCAAAATGTATCACTTATTTCTTGCTACATTATGAGGAAATTTTAAAAGCAATCCTTTTCAGGAGACATTTCAATATTAATATTCCTCAAAACTGATATACAAAGAATGACAAAATTAATTAACAAATTATTTTTTGTTTTGACCAGAACTCGACCTTCTCTTAAAAATAGAATTCAAGTCAGGAAAAGGATTCAAGCCTCTGTCCTGTGACTTGAGGGCCCCCGTTGCACAAAACTCACCATTGACGGTAACTACCATGGGGACCTTGATTTTGATTGGCTGTTAAGCCCTGTTACCATGGTAGTTGCCATAGATGGCAAAGTTACCATCAATGGTAATTTTTAATGCAACATGCCCAGTACTAAGTTACTATTAAAGTCAGGAAAAGGGTTATTGCCTCTGTCCGGTAACTCCAGTACCAAGTTCTAGGACACACTTTTTTTTTTATTAAACCACATCATCTAGGGTATCAAATGGAGGTCCCTAGTGCATAGGATAGTCCAGTACATACAGAAGACACATCAATTATTCTCCTAACACAAGTACTGTAGGTTGAAATCCTAGTATAATGCTAGAGGTGTTGTGGTCTAGTGGATAAGTCGCCAGACTGCAGATCGCAAGATACAGGGTTCGAGTCCCGCCATGGCACTACCAATGTCCTTTGGCAAGAAGTTAATCTACATTTGCCACTCTCCACCCAGGTGTAAATGGGTACCTGATATGCTTGGGCGCTAGTTACTTTGGCAGCTCGCCTACAACCAGGGTAATAAAGTATGTACGGCGCCATGAGCGTCAGAGCCAGGTGGATACTAGTGTCAATATAAATATCCATATCATTATCATTATTATAAATGCTTGATGGTCGAATCCCGACACGGCACTAATATCCTTTGGCAAGATATTTACCTGCCCTTGCTACTCTCCACCAAGGTGTTAAATGGGTACCCGGTAGGATGCGAAAGTTCATGTGGTTATGTGAGCAAGTGTGCGCTTGTGAAATGGCGACTGGCTGGAATGCTCCCTAGGGAGTGGAAAATGTGGATACAGTGTGTGCGGGTAAGCCTGAAACTGATGCCCGGGGTAATAATATATCTGTAAAGCGCTTGGGCACATCGTTGTATCGATGTTTTGGGCGCTATATAAAAGGGAAATATTATTATTAGAAATTCTTGATGGTGATTTCCCTTGTTGTCTCTATTAGGATATTGCGCAATCACCGACTTACCGCAATATTCTTCCAGAGGGTCGTGACATCATAATCTTTGCGTTTGAGATAGTCGGTCAGGTAGGAGATCGAACGCTTGCTTCCCGTGCTCACATCAGAACTACGCTGGAAGTTTGTGTTCTTCTTGTTGATTGAATAGTTGGTGAGATGCATGTAGAGTTGATCCTAAATTAAACAGTAAACATATGAATTTTATTCAATGGTATAAAGACTCTGCCGATATCAAATTAATTATTACAGTTACAGATCAACATTACCTAAATATACAAGCTTACAACAACAATGACGACAACAACAAAACAATACTAGATCTACAACTTGTTACATATAGGGGTGATAGTGAGCACTCAAAAAAAAAAAATCTTCCTCAATCTGCCCCCTTGAGTAAAAAAAAAATTAAAATTTGGGGGAAAACAATGGCATCCAACAACATTTTCCCCTTTTTGGTACAGGGCGCGACAAACCCGCTTGCCCGACGTCCCGGGGCAACCAAATTGAGCCGTCGGGCAAGTAAATCAAATTATCACTTGCCCGATTCGGGCAAGTGATACTTTTACAGTAATTTCCTAGTGTCCAAGAACTCTACCATTCACCCGTCAACTTCTTACCCGTCGTCAAAATCCAGAAGCAAAAAAGCGATCGTTCCGATTTCGAAAAAACTTCACAGACAGCTATAGCCAGCTCAGCTAGCTCAGCGCGCATGCAACAGTGACACTTCAAGCCATGAATGCCGCTCCGCCTCCACGCACGGCCGGCCGTGAGCTAGCTAGAGACAGCTAGCGCGATCGTACCAGCTGCGAGCTTATTCGCGCTCTCTCTCTCTAGCTCTGCAGGCCGCACCGACAGGCCTTTGCTATTCTCTGATTGCCGATTGGTTGAATCACGCCAAATATGACGTCATTATTCTAGGGAAATGAACACGTGCGAATCGGAATGGAATAAACAACAGGGATTTTCTAGTAAGTACAAAAAGTCAAATGTTTGATATTTATTCATAATGACTGTTAATGATTGTGAACATATTATTTAAAACTCGCTGCTCATATAAATCAGATGAATGTTTTTGTCTCGTTTTCAATTTATTACTGCGGTCTCAAGATCCGACCGAGCGAGTCATTTTGATAATAGTATCGAGACCCCCAGAATATAAGCCGTTGTTGTTTTGTTTTCATGGTTTTAGCGACGTTGTTTAGTCTAGTTTTCGCATACTTATCCGAGATTTATCGTAAAATATCTTCAATATTATTATTTAGTAAGAATTTACAAATTTTGGCATGATATTTATAGCAGTGAATGATGAAATAAAAATGTCCGTACTTTATTTAAAATAGTTGATTACCCATTATTTACATGACTGAATATTAAAAACTTAAACCTGCTTGAACCATTCTACCTTGCCGAGATTCATGTGAATCTGATTATTTATGGGGAATCAATAAAATGCGTTTTTTAAACCTTCAACCATCCTTTGTTGACCATTTTCTTTGACATATTAGGTTATTATTCAGTACAGTTACACTGTACATGTATGTGCATTAATTTGCTATCTAAAACACTAACTTATCATTACGAGATAATAAATGCTTTAACCTCGAGTCCTTTTTCGCTTTAAAGTTTTGGGCAAGTGGAAATATTGTTTGGGCAAGTAAATTGAAAACCCACTTGCCCGACAGGGCAAGTGGTGAAAAAAATTCTTGTAGCACCCTGTGGTATGATAATTGGCAAAAAATAGGGAAATATAGGGAAAATTAGGGAGAAATCAGGAAAATAGGGCTAGAACATTTTGGAAACTATTTAAATTGGGTAATGATCAGGCATGTACATGTACATAGCAAAAATATCAAATAAATATGAGCCTCAAAACATGTTTTCGCATCCTACCGGTATCCTACATTTATCTGCTCCTTACTAAGAGCACTCTTCTAACAGCATGGCTATCATTGGCTTGCAAGTATCCATTCACTTATGAGCCTGGGGGTGTTTCACAAAGACTAAGATCGACTTTAAGTTGGATCTGTTTATGGCAGGCCATTCATGCCGCTGATTGCTTTCACCATTATGATCTTGAGATACTATTTTTTCCTTCAATAATGAATTATCAAAAAATGTCAATTCTGTAGATTTGAGAACATGATTTCTACGTCTCTTGAGAGACCAATGCCAGTAGATGGTGAGAGAAAACAGTGGCATGAACGGCCTGCCATACTTAAGTCAAACTTATAGTTGATCTTAGTCTTTGTGAAACACTCCCCAGATCATATATTTGTACCTCAATCTATATCAACTTACCACGTTGTTATCAGTAGGTGTTACATATTGCTCCGTTCCCATACGGACCAAGCCATCCGGGTAGAGGAAGATTCTCAATGGATCGCATGACGTCACCAGGACATAGACACGCAGGTCAAACTTGAATCCTTCCAGAAGGAAAGGTTTGTCCACATACTCCTGTACTATCATGTGATCTTGAGCTGGTATACGTTCACCATTCCTATACAACGTGATCCTATAACAAGAAAATACAGACATAGTATCATTTACAAATATACTGTGAAAACTACATTATTTCTTATGCTAGTGCAAATTTCATATCAAGTCGGAATTTGGGTTACCGGTAGTCATTTATTAGTAAATGTCTGCATATATCTGGCATAAAATAGAGAGATATCTGTACAAGCAACAACTTTTTTAATAAAAAGTTTATTCAGAGTTTAATTCCCGCAATTTAAATTTGTTATAAATACTAATATACATGTATTTCTCACTACATACTTTTTGGATTGCGGTATCATGCCTAGAAGGTTATACAAAACTTTGAAATCAAGATTCTAATGATTCTAATGATTCTAAATAATATGAACAGGGAAGTAGTCCCTGTACACTTTGGCCCGAATTCACAAAGGAGGTTGGTCGACAAACCTTGGTTTTTGTACGTCATATGACGCGTTTTGACGCGTTTTTTGACAAACCTGGTTTGTGAATTCGGGCCACAAGGTTTCAGATGATCTTCAGTATGTGAGGGCATCCAAGTCTAATATGAGGTAATCGTTTTTTTGTTTCTACATACATTAATGAATAAAATAACAATGCAAATGCCAACATGATTTAATGGTTTGTTATATGTTAACTGGCATACGACCTGAACAGAAGAAAACAAATCTTAAATGGTTCCCCTAGGGTGTTCTGGGAGTGTTGTAAATGGTCAGAAAGATGAAAACTGCTCGATTTGGGTAAGTTAACGATTAAACCCTCAATTTACAAGAAGTCTAGATTTTTCATGTCAAATAATCTCATTTTTCACGACCATTCCTATGTTACTATTTTGTAACTCACCCCTGGCCCATGGATCCGTTCGCAGGCTTGACAATGAAAGTCCTGGTCTTCTTTCTTCTCTTGAGATCATGAACATAGTTCTGAAAACTGGAGTACTCCGCTGGGAAGATCCAAGTCTTAGGTGCAAAATCAAATTCTTCTGGATGCTTCTTTACCATCCTATGAGAAAAAAATACAGATATGTTTGTGTCAAAAAGGAACTTCAGTTAAAGAGAAGGTTGAGTTCTGGGAAGAGGTGAACAATAGTTTGTGAGCGTTATCATTGTCTTTATGCAAGTGTGGAAGAACATCAGATTAAAAATGTTCCCTGAGAAGCTTGGCTCTTCAAATGCCTTAATATTCTAAATATAGCATGTAACAGCATAAAACTCGGGACGGATTTTTATGCCACATGTGTGTGTAGTCCCATATACATCTTTCTGTGTACAGTGCTTGTAACTTTACCAAGACTGGGCCAAATTTCTTATAATTTTGGTGATTCCAGAACCTTGCAGTACACACCAATACTTAAAAGCTAGATGATCAACCTTTTTTGATCGACTCCACACTGTTTCTTTCACAATGCTATCGCATGACCAGAACTCAACTTTATCTTTAACTGAGAATGAGCATGACCTTAAGGTTGTGAAGAAAATGATTTATTGTAAAATTGTTCCTGCTGAAAATACCTTAACTAAGAATGAATAAAAACATGACCATATATTTTTAAAACTGCTAGAAGGATGCAATATTTACTACTAAAAATACATAAGAAACCGTCAAATTACAAGGAACAAAAATTGATAATAAGTCTCAATTAGATGTGTCCATACTTAGTATACACAAAGTGTATTAATGTCATCCCTGTTCAAATTCATTTATCAGTTTGATCAGATAGCGCACAGGATTACCAATGGATAGACCATATACCCAACCAACCATTAATGTGGATGTAATAAGATATCTCTCAACTGCATCAACCTCAAATAAGTACAATTAAAGATAAAGACCAGTTATGGTCATGCGATTGCATTGTGAAAGAATGGTTGTGGAATCGATCAGAAAAAATTGATCATCAAGCATATAAGTGTATTGGAGTGTACTGCAAGGTTCTGTAATCATCAAAATGATAAGAAATTTGGCCCAGTCTTCGTCAAGTTACAAGCACTGTACACAGAAAGATGTATGGGACTACGCGACACGTGCACGATATCTATACGGTCCAAATAGAAATTATAATTTACCAAGTATATCAATTAGTAGGCGGTTTCTTGGCAAAATTTGTATCATCACGTATTAGTCAAAACATATTCTTTCACATGATTGGTAATAAGAGCTTCCATTTCATTTTTTGAGAGGGGGGCGTTTCCAAAATTGGTCTTTACCTTTAATACAAAACATGAGAAGTTAGCAGGAGATAAAAATGGAATGAACATTGAAAGAGTTTTTGAACTACTTATATTAATCTATACATAAAACACATGGAAATAGCTATGAGCTATGGACAGGAAGAGTAGAGAAACCAATGACACAACTGACTTACTTGGTCATGTTTCTCGCTAGACAGTCTTTGCGACAGATTTCCCCCATTCCTGCAAAGTGATTGATCCTCTGTCAAACAAAATAAATAAATAAAGGAAATGATATTAAAGGGATCCGGTAACTTTGTCTCAGATTCTGAAATAAAATTCTGGATTTAGCTCATGATGCAATGATAATTATAAACCTTTAGGTCAGTCAGGAACCCCATGACATTTACAAGCCGATCGCCTGTCTGATTATCAAGATATTTATGATTGAAATTACAAATTTTGAAAACCGTTCGCCCGACGGTTTTCATAACACATAAAGGACTTTGTAGATGTAGATTCCATAACTCTATTGGGGAAAACGAGTATGGTAAAACCGGTCACTCAAAGATTTTTACTTTTTTGAGGCACTTCTTGATCATTTTGAAGCGCCATTTTTTTAGGGCTTCAATATTACACCATATCACAGACACTGATAACAAGTAGGGCTGTGTATCTCAGATTTAACATTGTTAAACGATCCCTTTAAAGAATGAATAATGCAAAGGGCTCCAATTCACATTGAGTATCGTTACTATATACATTTACACAAAATCAAAAGTTTGTAACATTCCATCACAATCAATATAACTGTTATGGGTAAACCCTTGTAATAATTTCATTTGTATGAGAGCAGCAAAATAAGAGAACAGAACAGCGAGAGTATGAAATAAATCGGACCAACGATAAAAAAGTTATGAATGTTTGAATTATGGCAATTTGGTTACTGGATTAGAACATATATAGTCCCTGATGACTCTCTCATTTATCGTGTACAAAAATACCATACATTTTAGATTTCCTCTTTAACGTCTTCTCCCTTGGGGGCTAACTTAAAATATATTGTGGATAGCATATTATTAAATGTTCCCTACAAAGAAAAGACACTCCCAAGTAACAGATTTTGCAAAATCTGTCCCTGTAGTAATTTTTTGTGTTGAAACAAAGGGCAAAGTTGTCCTGCACTTCATCATAGTGACATTACCGATTCAGCAAATTTGAAGTGCCAACACATTTAGTGATTGAATATTTTTGAAAATCAATAACTTTCTTACTTTTGGTTGAGTTTGTTTAAACTTTCACCAGGGGGCTTCTTTGATTTTTCTGCTTTCTTTTAAAGTAGTTTGCTATAGTGTTGGATTTCCCTATAATTCTCTTATTATGAAGGTAATAATAAGGAGTTCCGTTTCCACAATAGAGAGAGAGAGAGAGAGAGAGAGAGAGAGGGGAGAGGGTGAGAGAGAGAGAGAGAGAGAGAGAGAGATAGAGAAAGAGAGAGGGTGAGAGAGAGAGAGAGAGAGAGAGAGGGTGGAAGACCTTACCTGATATGATTTCAGCTCTGCTATTCTTTCAGCAGGAACCGCTGTGTCATTCCAGAACAAGAAGCTACAATCATGAGAGAATACAAGGAATGAACCATTTAAAGCTTATCTGCCGTAGTTTACAGGAGGGATTAGACCGCCCAGCAAGGTCACTGGACAGGTGGTTATCTCATCAACTCAGCTCTCAGTTAACATAAGAAAAAGAGGATCATGGGGGACCAATGGTCACCGATTAGGCATTGTTTGTTATATAGAGGGCGCAAGTAGCTACAAGTAGTGCAGTGGGCCTTAAATTATGTAGCCTTGGGGTGTTACCGTATTTTACAAAGATCCTAAGTTGAACTTGAAAAAATTATGGAAAGCCATCAGCATCTATGAATATCTTTTGTAAAAGTTATTTTAAAAGGCGTAAAAGTTATTTTAAAAGGCATAAAATGTTGATTCAAATCACTCATACTTTCTATTATCAAGGAGATTTCATGTTCTTGATGTGGAATTTATAAAAAGTCTAAAATACTTGAATTTTTGCTCTGGAACATATTTTATTATAAGGTTACAAACGGCTCTCCATTATATTTAAGTCAAACTTAGAGTTAAGTTCTACTTGGCATCTTTGTGAAACACACCCCAGGTAATCTAGTTTACTACTATTCATTACCTAAGACTAAGCCGAGTGCAAAATGCCCAAGCAAGTACAGTAAGGTAGGCTAGCGAAATGTAGTGGTAGGCTTAATGTTACCTAAGTTTTTTTAAATACTGAAATGTCAAATATAAATATTAATGATTATATACCTCACTTAAGTAATCCAGCAATCTGATTGGTCAAAATTGCATTCATAAACTTTAACTGTTCCCGAAAATTCCCGGTAACCATGGTTAAAAAACAGTTCAAAATCCCAATAACCATGGTTATTGGGGAAATAGGTCAGTCTCCATGGTTACCCCATAGGTTTATATGTTAAAAAATGGTCTGAGCGATCGAGGATACCGTACGTGTGCGAAGAATTGGTCGGTAATTTCAATACAATTGAATCTCGATCGATCTTACCGACAATTTTATCTTGCATTGTTGACATTAAGACGAAAATAAACTTCCAAAAACAAAAAAACAACATCTGCCGATAGATCTTGATCTAAATTCGTGCCAATATGCATTGCAAAAGTAAAAGAAGGGCCTGTTTAATGGAGCAGCCGCGAAGCTTCCACCACGCGAAGCCGTTTTCAATCCATTTTAATGTATATATAAGAAAAAACTGCTATGTATGGTAACAGAGCGCGATAGCCGAGCAGTTTAAGGCGGCGGTTTTCATTACATCACCTTTGGTACGCAAAAGATCGAATCCCATCTTCAACAAAAGTTTTTTTTTTTTTATTTATTTTTTTTTTTTTTGGCATATAAAAGTATTAATGACTGCTTTAATATTCGAGAAATAGTTGTTTTTATACGCTCTCGGGAAGGTTACAATTGGGCTATTGCTCTCGGGACGCCTCGGGGCAATAGCACAATTCTAACCTTCCCTTGAGCGTATAAAAACAACTATTTCTCTCAAAGCAGTCATTAATACTATAATAAACATCGCTATTATGGCTTTAACGTTCAGCACACATCTTTTCTTGCCAGTCCATACCACTAAGCTACCTCATTGACATGCTTGCATTTTTCCAAGAGGTTGTCACTCCATTAGTCAATGATCAAATTTCTTCCATGAAATGTTAAAGAGTAATAATAATAATAATCTATAAACCTCATGGGTTATCACTTCCTTGAATTGCAATCTGTCATTGAAAAAGTCCCAATTAGATAAAAAGCATATTCACAGAGAATTTGTTTGAGGGCTGATTTGATTGGCTTATTTGAAAAATCACAAATCAACAATTAGGAGAAAAAAAAGTTGGTTATTTGTTTATTTATCAAATTAACACAACCCTGTACACTCCAGCAGCAGTGTTATTTTCTTTGTGTATACATAAGTGGACACTCTTACATTGTGTAACTCGAAATCTATTATCATTCTATTGCAAGTAATATGTCATTGGATCTAGTATCGAGAGTGGTACCGAATGATTCTATGACACAAACATGTGTATGACATATGTGAAATATCAACATTTAAAGGGATAGTTGAGTTTTGTTTTCAGACCGCAAATGCCTTCAAAGTGCATGTTTATTGCTCTTATTCTTATCTATGACATTTCTAGTGCCCTTTTAAAACCTAAAATTGCTATGAAGATAATTTTAGACCCCAAAATGTGTGAAATGTAGCCAATACGATCATACCAATTCAGCTCGACTTTCAAAAAAATATGGTGACCGTTACCTAACTATTTAATTAAAAATAACAATATATGGACCGGCTGGTTGTGTGTAATATAACCAACACGAAAATGCCAACAAAAAAGCCAACATTGGCATTGGCTGAAATACGACGTAAAAGGCACTATTTCATTTTTTTCAAATTATCTAATATTTGTGGTGGTACAAGTATTAGAAATTGTTATATTTATGGATAGTTCAGCCGTCTCTGAACCGATTTTGATCAACCAGAGATGATTTTGTCATTTAAATTGTATGTTCTTTCAAATTTGATCCTCAGGTTTTCATTATTTCACAAAAAAATTATTTTGTGTAGCCCCCTCTGCAACAGAACTCAACTATCCCTTTAAAGTCAGTGTTCACTTTGTATCTACCAATACAAGAATGGATGGATGGATTGATAATTTACCAGTTGGGATCGTCATCTCTGTTTGTCAACACTCCATACTGCTCTGCCACTTTCCTTACTGAAAAGAGAGAAAACACATCAAAAGAGATTTTAAAAAGAAACCTCAAAATATACTTTTTTCTGAAGGCAAGATGAGCTTGTTTGTTTAATTCTTCAATTAATTGAAAGGCAATGGATTAAATTGTTTTGTCTAGTCCACCCATCTTTTTGATAACATATCAACTGTGTCACAGATTACAAAGTAGTTGTAATACTACAATTGCATTCATAATTTTACAGATGACTAGCAATATTAAAACTAATGGAGCTCTCACACTCTGCCGTGTAGGTCTACCGTCCACCTGCCGGGCTATTAAAAAAAACAACAGAGTCCAGAACGTTGGGTTTTGAGCGAACTTGTCCCCGGCCGCAAAAAAAAAAATCGTAAAATTAATCTTTTCACCTTTTCGTTGCCATCTTCTGACCGTTCTCACCGGGCGCATACCGGGTGCTGAACGTGCTTCTACCGTCTTCCCCGCCCAGATTGACTTATGTTGAAAATTTTGGCCGTTTCCATACCGGGCCCATACCGGGTCTCAAACGTGTGCACCGGGTTTGTAGCAGCCACCTACCAGTCACTTAGCGTCCCCTCACCGCTCGGAGCGTCCTGTGAGCGAGTCCCCGGACTGCTGACGTCATGACACGACTGCCATAAATACCCCGATTTGAACGGCAACGGTCAGTCCGCTCTCCATTTTTCATCACCGTTCTGTAACTGGTTATGAGCGTGTTGTGAACGTGTTCATACAGTGTGACCGTTTTCATAACGTATTCATACCATCCTCATACCGTTCAACACCGTCCTCTTGCCGCTTACTTGCGGCCGGTGCCAGCCGGCCAAAGTTTTGAACATGCCCAAAACTTTCGCCGGGTCCAACCGGGTGTAAATAAGCGCCAACGCCCTATTAACGTGTTGCCCGCTTTGATAACGAACCACCGTGTGCCCTCGCCGTTCTCCACCGTCCGCATACATTTTCGCGCACGGTGGCACACGGTAGGCCTATACGGCAGAGTGTGAGAGTTACTTAAACAAGAAACAGGGATTTATTTTTCTACATCAGAAACGTGTTGTAGTATGACCTCATCCAACACTGCTTATGTTGTTGTAGTAAAAATGAAACTGGAATGAGAATTGTTTAATATGATCTCATATCATTCCTAAAGTAACATAAAAACTTTATACCATCTGTTTAAAATTTCTAATTAAATTTGGTAAGAATATCATCCTCAAGTCACCAAGTCACCTGTCGACAAAGACCACCAGTCTACAAAGACTACTTTTTTGTTTACCTTGGGCTGTCGCTATAGACAGGTTTGACTGTATAAATGTTCTAGTGATGCTGACCTACATGTAGTTACTTTACACAGAGTACCAATGGTGTTGATAGATCAGACATGCAACTTACCAACTTCATATTTGGTGCCTGTAACATCGATAGATATTGGGCGTTTTTTGCGTTTCTTCTTGTGATTGGTTACGGGACGTGTCTCTTCACTATATCCGCTGAATGCAGCCTTCCTACTACCAGAGGGCAATGGACCAGCTAGCAAAGGATAATCAACAAAGAGAAAATTATCATTAATATCGAAGTGAAAAGTAATATACCACAGAAGTAGGAATTGTATCTAAACTGAAAATACACCCCCTCCACTAGCGCCCCCCCCCCCCCCTCCAAAAAAAAAAAGATGAACGAACAGGAATGAGTAATAGCGGAAATTATAACAAGTTTAAGAATAAGAACACAAGTACAAAATTGAATACAACAAGCAACTAGCAACAATCCAGTCTCTCTATTTATATTACAGTTATGAATGATTTTTTAGTCATGCAAGTGTGTCTCCCATCATAAAGCAACTACCCAGGTACATATTGGCACTCACAAATTTCCATACTGGATTCGGTTGATTTTTCAATTAAATTAAGTTAAGCAACAATATCAAATAACTGCCTTGCATTCTTTTAGACCTCCTTAATTTATGATGTTGATTAAAAAAGGATAATTGAGATGTGCATCATTTAAGCTTTTTTGCAGCTCCCTGACTACAAAAAAAGCTTAAACATGGAAATTGAAGAAATGATGTGTAATTGTGTGACACTTTACGATTTTCCCCAAAAAGAGAGAAAACAATTAATGTTTGTAACCAGTGAACAACCTCTGGTCTTCTCACCATATGCTCATTAAATCATGAAACTAAAATAAAATTCACATGATTAGATATATCCTGATTCAGAGGTACATAAAATGGGGAAGAGGAGTAGAATTTATGCACCTTTTCTTGCCGATGAGGGCCTTTCACCGGACTCCATTTTTGAGCTGTGAGGTGCAGTCTATGTTACAGTTTGTGTCGTTGTTTGAAGTTGCAGATTACCCTCAACATCGCCATGATATCATACTGTCACCTGGAAGGGATAAGAATGTGATTAATGATCAAGTTCAAGTTTCAAGTTTATTTGTCTTCCAGAAAACACATGTGACAAAATATAATAGAGTATAATCATAACAGTACAATGTAGAACAAAGGAAGACGAGGAGACCTTGGTTGAAGCACAGCTTGTTAAGTTAAGGCCCCCTCATATGATGTGACAAAGATAACTTGATCAGTCCCAAAACTGTACATTTTTAAGGTTTCGTGGTCTCGTGGGTATGTCACCGGACTGCGGATCGCATGGTTTGTGGTCTGGGTCTCGCCTAGACCGAATTTTCCGTCTCTTTCGTTCGTTAGCCTCTTATTGGGGTAGGGTCGGCTCTCTCTTTAGAGACGGAAACCGTCTATACACATTCCCTTGATAACGCCACGGCCATTTCAGGTCGTAGCGTTTTGCCCCCAAAATCCCCCAATATGTCATTTTACCTCGTGCATTTTATATTGTAAATTAGGCCTAGGTCTAGGCTATAATAAATCAGTTCCACTTACCAACTTGACTGAAATAATCAGTTTAATAGTCCTTTTTTAGGAATTTATGGGTCAAAATCGAAATCCATGTTGAAAAAGATTTTCAAAATGGATTTCGATTTTGACCCATAATTTCCTAAAAAGGGACTATTAAACTGATTATTTCAGTCAAGTTGGTAAGTGGAACTGATTTATTATAGCCTAGGCCTAATTTACAATATAAAATGCACGAGGTAAAATGACATTTTGGGGGATTTTGGGGGCAAAACGCTACGACCTGAAATGGCCGTGCGTTATCAAGGGAATGTGTATAGACGGTTTCCGTCTCTAAAGAGAGAGCCGGCCGACCCTACCCCAATAAGAGGCTAACGAACGAAAGAGACGGAAAATTCGGTCTAGGTCTCGCCGTGGCACTAATATCCTTTGGCGAGACATTAATCTACATTTACCACACTCAACCCAGGTGATGTAAATGGGTACCTGGCAGGAATTAATTCCTTGAAAGGCTAGAGCACCTTACATTGTACCATGGCAAACATGCTAAAGCTGGGGTTAAAATTGCCATTTTAAATTATCCGTCCAGATACCCAACTTGTTCAGACACACAGCGTCTGGGTATATGATGGGGTGACCAAAGTTTGTGGAAATTAAACAAAATATATTATTGGGAATGTGATATTTGATCCCTGATTTCTCATAATTCTACAAAAATATATTTAGTTCAATCATTACCAAATATTTTTTTCAATTGATCCACCAAACATGAGATAATTGCATGATTTGCAAGGCAAATTATCACCCAATCAGTAAGTATCACTTTTTACTTAAATTTTTTATGACATCTTCTCTCGATATTATTTAGACCTAGATCTAGATCTAGATTATCTAGACCTAGACCCTAATAATATTTAATATTTAATAAGATTCCCTCGTCGACAAGTTTAAAACATTTCAGAACAGACACAAAAGACCGCAAATTTGCAGATCATTCACAACATTTTAATTATTTAAGTTTTAGTTCCTTTTTCCATTGGTGGTACACGTATCAGATTTTTTTGAAAAATTACCATTTCACATTTGAGTCGATCTCTAGTCTAGCGCTAGACCGAATTTTCCGTCTCTTTCGTTCGTAAGCCTCTTATTGGGGTAGGGTCGAGCCGACCCAAACCCCAATAAGAGGCTGACGAACGAAAAAGACGGAAAAATTCGGTCTAGTCTACCGCGAACTACAAATTCTAATGTTATGCCTTATGGTCGAGGTCGACACCACATTATATATGGAATTGTCCACTAATTAAGGTCACGTACGAACTAAAGTTACACCACCATAGATTAAGGCAAAGAAGACGGGGTTTAGTCTGCGTCAAAGTTATTATTCTAGTCGAACTCGAAGAACGTAAGGATTCAAACCGCTTCCCTTGAATCAGCATAGGCACAGCCACAGCAGCCGAGAGCTGCGGGAGAGTCAGGGTACAGCCGTCCGCTACTCTTTCGTGCTCGAGAGAGGATACAATTTGTTAGGACATTTGGAGGCAACATCAGTAAAGGTTACCATGAGAAGGAAACTAGAAAAACATGTAGAATAAGGCACAATTTATAAACATAGAGACCATAAGATCTTTTACCTCAAACATACCTTCAGTAAAGCTGGAATTTGACAGAATACCAAAAGCACTGCCACAGGAGTAGGACAACTAGCGCTGGTATTCAAACGTGCGTGCGGCATAAACATTAGCTATATTAATACGCGTTCGTCGGCACCGCGCGCGGCGGCAGGAGTCCGAGCCGTACCATCAAAGCGAAATTAACGACAGGTGGAATGTTGTACCCATAGCAACAGACGCAAAGATGAAAGCCGTGGAACGGAGAGCAGTGATTATTGAAACAAGATTGCAAATCAATCAATTACATTTTTATTATCACAATTTTGATTGCATTCAAAAATTGCCTTGCAGCTCTTGCTGCACACTTTCCTCCTGACTGTAGGCCTAGATATCCTTGTAAATCAAGGATTACATCTCGGTAGACTGAAAAATTAAATGTGAGGACATAGGCCTATTTGTTACTCTACACGTTCCATTAAAAAAAAATGTATTCGTCAGCAGATTTTTAGACCTGTACGCCTGGTATGGATTGGAAGGTTAGGTGAAATGACAGAATTTAGCGATATGCAGATAGTAATTAAATAGCACCGTTTCTGGTACCACAAACCTCCATGCACATAATGTTTTGTCTCTCTAGTTTCTTGTTTTCTTCTCCTCTTCCTCTCTTTCTCATTAATTTCGAATTATATGTACTAGGTTCAAATGAGGTTTAATGATTTATCGTTGTAGTTCCACTTCAAGCTGACTTATTTTTGATCTGTTATTATTGTATATTGTTGTATGTTGGAATAAGCTTGTCGAATAAAAATCAATCAATCAATCAATCACTTTATAAAATGTTCATGCTTTTAAACATAGATGATAATTCGGTAGTAAATTGCAATGAAGAACTTTCCAATTGGGCCTATCCGATAATTTTAGAAAAATGCAACATAAAAAAATTGACATGATTTAGTTTGTAAATAGTTGAGTATCAATAAGGTTATTTTGAATGTAGACAATACAAGGGTGATATTTGGAAACTTGAAATTGAATATAATGGCATAACAAATGACTTTGTTGAAGAATTTAAATATGTTCGTACTGTATTTTGTAAAATATCTCGAGTATTTGGGATTATCCGGATAATTTATCTTTATAACTCGTAAAATAATTATCAGCATTTATTACTCACTCTTCTTGCCACACATTGATTATTATTTGGGGAATTTACTCAAAAACTAATCTCATTAGATTACAAAGAATTCAAAATAAATACATTTCGAATGATTTTTAATGTAGATTCTTTCTCTCAATTTTATAGCATTCTTAAATGGCAAACTCTAGAAATAAGGGTATGATATTAATCTTGTGATTTAGTTTTTAAAATTGTGTATTAACAAGCTCTAAATTATTTAAACCATCTGCAGTATAACACTAACAGTCCTTTGTTTGTTCCATACGCACTTATTGTCTACATTCACTCACTGAATGTAGGAAACGTAGCTTTGCCCAATATGGTTCGCTGTTGTATAACAAACTCCCACTTTCTTATCAGTCATGCACTGATGCACATCATGACATTTGTTCAAAAAGCAATGCCATCTTTTTAGGCATGATTCTGGCGTTTTAAAAAAATTGACCAATTAATTGAAAAATTATATCGTTAACTTTTAAAAGTGCAACAGGACTACTTTACTTTATTCCTTTTGTAATTATTTTAGTATATCTGTTTATCTATTTTTAGTTTTTGTTTTTGTTTAAGGCGTCGTAATTGTCAGTGTAATACTTCAGTATTTATTTTTGAATAATTGATTATAAATATATATGATTAAAATAGTGTTGTTTTTAAAAGATATATGTCTATGTTGATATTTTACATGTAATCCTGCGTATGCAGGCCTGCATGTATGTACAATTTTCAATGTTTGAATTATTATAAGTCGGTATACTGTGTTATTGTATTATGCACATCTTTCTTGAAAAGCAGGTCGACTGGCTTTCAGTGGAACTGAATGAAACTACCCTGTTGAAAGAAATCATGAATAAATTAAAACCTCAAATTCAATTAAGTACCTGCACCTTTACAAAATCATTCGGCAAACAAGAACCACGCAGAATTTGTAAATGGCCATTATGTCTTTTCATTTTCCCTATTTAACAACATTACATCCGAATGCATTTAAGTTCAAGGTTTTTTGCTGTAAATCACAGGTAGTCGTTTTACAAATGTATTTATTAAGGAGTTATGTCTAATAAACTAACTGTTATAGGTATTAACCTCATACAACATTTCCCTTTAAGCTCCAAAAACAGTATAGGCCTACTGTTTTTGTATATTGTAGACATTAATGTATATACAGTATATACATGAATGTTCAGTCGAAATGCACCTTCCTCAATGCCTGACCTTAGACCTGTTTTCACTATCTCGAGATTGCCAAATATCCAGCTATTTGAACTATCCCGATCGCAAAATATCCAGCTAATTTGCGTCTTCATCAGACCGAAGTGGCAATTAGCGGGATATTTGGTCGGGATTGTCATCCCAAGATATCTTGAGATAGTTTGCAAAATATCCAGGTATTTGTCCTGTATGTCTTCACTAGACCGAAGACTCGCACTATGCGCTAACGCTGAGCAAAATATCTCGAGCTAATTTCTCAAGGTCGAGTTTCAAGTTTCGAGGTCGAAACTCGAGCTGATGAAAACGCAATTTGTAACTTCGGGATTATTTCCCAAATCAGAAATAGCGGGCTATTTGGCAATCTCGAGATGATGAAAGCGCGCCTACATGTAACCGAAAGGGGCATGAGTCCCAATATTCCAATAACATTATAATACACACCGGTCAGAGCAGGGAGTGTTTCGAGCCATCAGAGAATAAGTACAGCTTCGGTCTGACAATTATATTATTTGGAAGATTGTTAAGCTGGGAGAAAAACAGTTGGTGAGTAAAATACTTTAACTCTTTGTATTCACTTAAATTTATATGTTCGATATTCAACCGTGGTGTATCTATAACTTTTCCATGTCGTACCTTGTATTTAGGCATATTAAAGTGGAATTTTTGTGAGAGAAACACAGGAAGCAGATGGTAAGGGGCCATATCATTTATTTTTATATCATACCTTTGTTCTACCCAGTACTTTGCGATTAAATAGATCATTTTCGTAATATAATCAAATTGAATGCATGAATATTTGTTAATAATAATTACCCTTGCTTATACAGCGCCTAACACTTACTTTCTCTAAGCGCCCTATAATGCAGCATAATTACCCTGGCTTTAGCAGCTGTTAAGCGCGGTGCGTTTCAAGGAATACATTTCTACCAGGTACCCATTTACTTCACCTGGGTGGAGTGTGGCAAATGTAGATCAATGTCTTGCCAAAGGACATGCCATGCCATGTTACAAATTATTTCATTCACATTTTATGAATTATTGTATTTTAATAGAAATAGTCAGAATTCAAATTACTTACATGTATTAATGTAACATTAATTGTTGCCATATAGGAAGGACAACGATTTTGACTTGTCGTACCTAACAACTCGTAATTTGCGATTCGCATTCTGACTAATGAAATTCGTAACAGGTGAATGAAATTATTTGAAACGAGGTAACAAAGATTTGTACTTTCAACTTGATTTAATTATGAAAATGACGGCCTATTGAATTGACTTATAGCTGTATAGACCTACACTCCTTATAGTGGGGGCTGTTAGGGATATTTTGGTGCAGATTCTTCTAAAAGCACCAAATTTGGCCCAGAGGTAGATTATTATACAAATAATGAATGGTTATGAGTTCAATAGTGCGAATATGTTCATGAGTTGAAAGATTAACATTCTATTCAACGAGGCGTCAGCCGAGTTGAATAGAATTAACGTTAATCTTTCAACGAATGAACATATTTGCACTATTAAACGAATGAAAAACATTCATTATTTGTTTTATACAACATCGAAGAAGACCTAATAGAACGTTAATCAACAAATTATGCTTTACTCCTTATAAAGATAAATTAAAGTTCGAGTCAAGCCTTCTCGATTACATGCAGATTGCCTTCGCGTCAGATACACGCAGGGATACGCGCACATGCAGCAGAGAGGTATACGCAGTCTGCATATAACCAAAAATGCACGGCGCATATAACCAAAAATGCACGACCGTGCAATATACCATCTATTGAATATCATGTGACCAACAATCGTCCAATCAAATGACAAGGATCCACGTAGGTGTTGTATAAACCATATTATACAACACCTACGTGGATCCTTGTCATTTGATTGGACGATTGTTGGTCACATGATATTCAATAGATGGTATATTGCACGGTCGTGCATTTTTGGTTATATGCAGACTGCGTACCTCTCTGCTGCATGTGCGCGTATCCCTGCGTGTATCTGACGCGAAGGCAATCTGCATGTAATCGAGAAGGCTTGACTCGAACTTTAATTTATCTTTATAAGGAGTAAAGCATAATTTGTTGATTAACGTTCTATTAGGTCTTCTTCGATGTTGTATAAAACAAATAATGAATGTTTTTCATTCGTTTAATAGTGCAAATATTTTCATTCGTTGAAAGATTAACGTTAATTCTATTCAACTCGGCTGACGCCTCGTTGAATAGAATGTTAATCTTTCAACTCATGAACATATTCGCACTATTGAACTCATAACCATTCATTATTTGTATACTATTACGATTTCTACTGTTTATCTATTTTCCTTGCCAATCCTCGAAAACGAATTTATTATGCATTTCACTGAGGAAAGTTTGCATATTGATGAAACCAGGGCTCAAATTAATTTTTTGTCCACGGTGGCTCTTCCCCCCCCCCCCAAAAGAGCCCACGTGAGCCTTCTCACGGGGGCTCTTTTAGTACTGACGGGGGCTTTTTTATACAAATATCCATTGAATTGGTACCTATGATACTCCTCAATTATTTGCTATTTCATCATTATCATTCTAATCAGCATTTTCCCTCTTACAAATTTACAAGCTACATAGCTGTTACTGACTTTCATCCCGTGATGACATTCTCTCGATTTTCATTATTTCCTCCACATTATTCGGAGCAACCTTTACATTCTTTCTTTACTGAGCCGCGTAGCGGCGAGGCGATTTTGTGTGTGTGCTATTTTGGACAGGCGCGGATCCA